TTTTTCACAAAAAGATAATACTTTTTTTTTTATTTCATAAAAATTAAAATTTATGATTCATAAATAATACTAAAAAGATAAAAATTCTAAAAAACTCTACCAAACAAGTCCTAAACTCTATAAACTACTACCTTAATGGAACAAATTTTTTCTTAAAGGTTTTTCACAAAAAGATAATACTTTTTTTTTTATTTCTTAAGTTTGAATTTTTATGATTTTTAATTTAATACAATCTTAAATTTTGAAACCTACTAATGAATCAAAGGAAAATAGTAGTACCATAAATTGAAAGTGGGATTATTTTTAGAATCCGAAAAATAAAATGTTTAAACTTTTAAAATATTTATCATAATTATTTGTTAAATAAATTTTATCTTGAAACTCACTCAATGAATAATTATGATAAATATTCTCAACGCTAAAACGTTCTAATTTTCATCTTTCTTATTTTTCATCATGAAGAATAGAAAGGGTAGAAGAAAGTTGATATTTTCTTTAGAAAATGAAGTAAGAAATTAAAAAATAAATATAGGTAATAAGAATCCAAAATCAAAGACAAAATCATTGGAATACCACTAAATAGAAAATATTAATTTATACTCTTAAAAGAATAAAAAACTACACTTGTTGGACTGGTACTTGCTGATGTAGTATTGCGATTGTACAGAAACTATTTCCTTCCCCACCTTGTCTCTCTTTTTGTAAAAAAATATTCAGATACAATTTTTATTTACGTAGTATAATCTTAAGTGTGTTTTTTAATAATTAATTTTTTTATTCATTTCACATTCATAATATTAAAATATATAAGATATATTTTTAATATATTTATAAAATTAATTATTTGTTAATATAATATTTTTAATATTAAAATTAAAATTTTAAATAAGTAAATACAAACTTAATTAAATTCTTGATAGGAAATGACACTATATATCTGATGACATAAAAAGTGGAAAAAAAGTGTTCTCCATGTCATTTTCCTTCTTCTTTCCCTTGTATATTTCCGATGATAAGTTTCTTGATGGTCCTTCCGCTGCTTATATTTCAGAGTTCTCTTCTCCACCATCCTTCTCTATGAATGCTTGACTACTTTTTCTCTTTTTCTGATTTTCTGATTCTCCTCCAGGTACGAAAGTCTTGACGACCCTCTGCGTCTAAATTTTTTCACTTCAGTTAATTTGTTCTTTCTGATGGTTTTTGACTTTCTTGATCTTGTTATTGCTTCCCTTTGGTGTGTCGGTTCCATGTTTGATTCCATTCCTGTAAAAATTAGTGATCTTGATCTTTCTATAGTGATTTGGGGTAGTTTTTGCTAGCTACCAAGTGTTTGAAATGTTAGAGATCCCAAAAAGTTGCTTCTTTTATGCAAGCCGTATCTGTTCTGTCATGTTATAATGTTTTTTTTTTTTTTGGCTCATTGTCTTGCTATATGGTGTTTGATGTTGTTGAGACAGATGACTGTTTCCTCTTTGAGAGATTAGGAGAGATTTAGACTTTTCTGGTTCTGGGGGTTACCTTTTTCCAAGATTTTGTCTATGTGATAATAATGGACCCTAAGTTTACTGAATTCTCTGACTATATAAATGATTTCAAAGTTGAAGAAGAAGAAGAAGATACAATTTTGACCAATTCTATTCAGTACCCGAGTCTCACAATCACAGATGGGATCAACTTCAATGTTCCCTCTCCTGATCTTAGTTTCTTGGATGTCCCGTTTATTGTCCCCAATTCAGAATCTGCTAGTTTTCCTCCATCTGTTTGTGTTAGCTCTGATGAGGGCATGCTCTCGGCTTCCATGGGTTGGACCCCAGAGGAACACTCTCCTTCTCCCAGTGATGACAGTGATTCCTCAGATCCAGTTCTCAAGTACATAAGCCAGATGCTTATGGAAGATGGCATGGAGGATAAGCCCTGTGAATTCCCATTGGATCTAGGAGACACTGAGAAATTGTTGTATGAAGTGCTAGGAGGTCCCCATCCTCCTCTAATTAATCAACCCCAACTCTCTCTAAACCAGCATGCAGAGAGCCCAGAGAGTAATATATCTGGTACCAGTATTGATTATGGTGGTAATAGCAATTCTACTACTAGCCCCAGTACCGGTATTGGGACTGACAATCTGTGGGTTGGCGATGTTGGAGATTATAGTCTTCCCTTATTGCAAGCTCCCCTTCCTAGTGACTCTGAGTTTCAGTCAAATCCAAAGCCGCAAGATTCACAGTTTTCTTGTCACTCAACTAGTAGTTTTGGTAACATCAAAGATGGGCTGATGGAATCCTCTGCCGTTCAGTTTATGGTTAAGAATATCTTCAGTGATGAGGAATCCATCTTACAGTTCAAGAGAGGATTTGAGGAAGCCAGTAAGTTCCTTCCCAGTGCTAATCAGCTGATTATTGATGTAGAGAGCAGCACATTTGCCATGAATAGAAAGGACAAGGTTTCTAATGTGATAGTTGAGCAGGAGAAGAAAGTGAGCCAGCAGTCAACTGATGGTTCGAGGGGTAGAAAGAATCATGAACGTGAAGACAGAGGTTCAGAGGAAGAGAGAAGCACCAAGCAATCAGCAGTTCACGTGGAAGAAAATGAACTATCTGAAATGTTTGATAAGGTTTTGCTTTGTACTGATGAGTGTCCCTTCATTGAAGCTCTTCACCATGAAATAAGCAATGACTTGCATAAAGATGGACAGGGCAATGAGTCTAAGACTCATTCCAAAAGACAGAACAAGAAGCAAGAAACAGCCGATTTAAGGACTCTTCTGATTCTCTGTGCACAAGCTGTCTCTGCTTATGATTGCAGAACTGCTGGTGAGCTACTAAAGCAGATTAGGGAGCACTCTTCCCCTTCTGGCAATGGGTCACAGAGGGTGGCCCATTACTTTGCCAATGGCCTGGAGGCACGCTTGAATGGAAGTGTGACTGGAGTTCAAAATTTTTTCAGTACCTTAACTTCCAAGAAGACAACAGCTGCTGATATATTGAAAGCTTACAGGGTTCAACTTACTGCAAGTCCATTTAAGTGGTTGGCAATTGCCTTTGCCAACAAAATGATCTGCCAAACTTCTAAGAAAGCAACAGCCCTTCATATTATAGACTTTGGTATCCTATGTGGTTTCCAGTGGCCAATTCTTATTCAACATCTTGCCACGAGAGATGGTGGGCCTCCCAAGCTACGCATTACTGGAATAGAGCTTCCCCAACGAGGCTTCAGACCAGCAGAAAGAATTGAGGAGACTGGTCATCGCTTGGCATGGTATTGTGAGCGGTATAATGTTCCTTTTGAGTACAACCCCATAGCAGTGCAGAACTGGGAAACTATCCAACTGGAGGACCTTAAGATTGATAGGAATGAGGTGCTTGCTGTGAATAATCTTTATCGGTTTAAGAATCTCCTCGATGAGACAACAGTAGTGGACTGTCCAAGGGATGCTGTTTTAAAATTAATCAGAAAAATTAACCCTGATATTTTTGTTCATTCTGTTGTTAATGGATCATTCACTGCCCCCTTCTTCATGATGAGGTTTAGGGAGGTACTTTTCCATTACTCTGCAATTTTTGACATGTTGGATACTACCACATCGCATGAAGAGCCAGGAAGATTGATGCTTGAAGAGGGTTTTTTTGGGCGCGAAGCAATGAATGCTGTAGCATGTGAAGGCATCCAGAGGGTTGAGAGGGCAGAGCCATATAAGCAGTGGCAGGTGCGAAATATAAAAGCAGGGTTCAAGCCACTTCCACTGAACCAGGAGTTGATGCACATATTTAGGGTTAAGTTGAAGTCTAAATACCACAAGGACTTCATACTTGATGAAGATGGTCACTGGATGCTGCAGGGATGGAAGGGCAGGATTCTTTTTGCTTCCTCCTGTTGGGTACCTGCATAGGGGGCCTGCCTAGCATGTTAGTTAGAAACTAATACCAGTCAACTCCAAGTTTCTTACATGACCATACAGGCCTGGTTAATCACAAAAATGGACTAAGGTAAGCCTTTTTTACAAGTTTCAGTTTGTTCTCTTTCGTGCACATAAGATGTTTATTCAATACCTTGTCACATGTGTGTATTCTTGCTTGCCTGATGATTATAATTGCATGAATGTAATATGTTAGTACGGTAAGGTTTTCAATTTTGTCAGGGCAACAAAGTGAAGGAGCTAATTTTTGCTGTATTTCTGTTTTCAGATAATGCATGGTGTGGCTTGCCTTCCTGTCAAAGAACCTCACGGTGTTCAGCAGATTAAAGTCTTAGGCTTTGTTTGCCATATTTTCTGTACATTAACTAAGGATTTTAATAGATTAATGCTCTAGACTTATTGCCATGCTCTGAAGCATCATTATCTCGTGTTTTTAATGGTGGAAGTATGAATGTAAAACCTCCCTGGCAAAGTAAAGCTCTGGAGAAATCTACGATCCTGTTTTATACAGACTAATTAAAATAAATGTCTATTGCTTCTGCCTACATGTTTTCGTGGTTATTTTCCTGTTAGAAGCAGTGATGACAGCAGTAATGAAGTAGTTGGTTTTCATGTTAGTTCTTACTTCTCGGTTAAGTCTCGAAAGAATCTTGTGGTAATGGGAGAATATCCCCTGTATTATTAATAAACAATATGCAATTATGCAAATGGAAAGCAACGTATTAGGGGGGATGAATCAGCTTCATGATGACAGCAAAAGTAACTTTGGATGCTCTCCTTTTCCTTTGGACTTGACTGTTGCTCTGATCTCCAACGATTCCATTAAAGAAAACATTTGATATTGCAAAACCTTTTTGGTGGGGGTGAATAATGCGCCGCCGGTCCCATAGTCCGAAGGAAATGTCTTTAACATGTCTGTTTTGATCCATTCTATGGATTTACAGACAAACATTTAATTGTTTCATATGTAATCCAACTAATATTTTGAAGTTGCAATTCGCCACAGAACAACATGGAAAGTGCAATAAATCTGGAAAAGAGATTCTGGTGAGGGAAATCCATATAGTAAAGCTCCAAGGAAATGGAAGTGAAGGTTGAAGTTTTGTAGGAATGATCTGGTTCAAATGACATATCCTGTGCATAGTGCTCATTGTTGTCCTGTGTTCATTGGACCTTTCAAATTCTCTTTTGGATAAGGATTAAATTATACGAGTATTATATGGGTATTGGTCATTCTAGCTAGTGCTTAGAGATCCTCCATGGTCCTGATGTCTTTTGACCAATCTATTATGTCAAAAAGATGGTGAATTTTGGGCTTTCCTGGATTGGAGCCTGACAGTATAAATAAACAAAGGTTTCATGCATTCCCACAGTTTCCAGTCAGGAAGGATCAGATACAGTTCAAAATACAGTCCAAGAATTGCTCTGTTTTCCCCTGTTTGGAGTAAAATGTTTTCAGAATCCTCTTTTGTGTATTTCGCTGACCTTTTAGGCAGCAAGGTTTCCCCGGATAAAATAATCCATTTTAGTAATGAGAAATAATGTGGACGTTCTGTGAGGTGACTTTTCAATTCCAATTTCCCATGGAGCCCACTTGATGGTCAATTAAAGAGATGGAGGCAGGAGCGATTTGATTTGATCGGGGGATGGTAGTTGCCTTACAGCCAAAGAACGGTCTATTGTGGACTAATCAAATGAGGATTGTGGACTAATCAAATGAGGATGAGAACTTCACCGAACAGTTTAATGGTTGTACGTTTCATTAAAGTTGATAAATTATTTATTAAATTTAAAAATTAAATTTTCAATTACTAATATATAATAATATTAATTTATTAATTATTATCTTTATATAAAAAAAAATTTTCACTTTTTATTCTTTTTCGGTTTTACAAAGCAATAAATGTCACGAAATAGCTTCTTTCCCATGGGTCTGATTTGAATTAGTAAAAAGTTAATGTAATTTTTAGATGTTTAATAGGTTAATACAAAAAACTAAATGTCATGAAATATCGAAGGAGATTTTGGTGGAGTGAAGTGGTTAGAATCCTAAGGTGTTATAGGTGGAATTTTTTTTATTGTAAATTAATGTATTGAATTGTAGGATCGAGTTTTGCCTTATAAAGGCTTTCTTTTCCTCTCTTTATAACTTATTGTTCTAATTTAATCTACTGAATTATATTGCACTCTTTTTGAAATAATGTAATTTACTGTACTTCACGAAAAGAAAATAATATTATGAGATGAATACATATATAAATGAAAAATAATTTAAAAATAATTATTAGTCACTTAAGAAGTTTACTTCTAACTTTATTGGTTAATAAAGAACAATTTTTATAAATTTTATAACTTTAGTATAATTGGTTTGTTTTTTAATAGAGTAAAAAAGAATTAGTTTTAAAATATATGTAAATTAATCTTAATTTTTATATATTAAATAGTAAATTATATAATAAAAATAATCATATTCTTCTTCAATTCTTTCTCATTCACTTTAAAATTAAAACTTAAAATTTTTAATATAAAAATTTAAATTTTAAATTTCTAAACAGTTGGGATATTTAATATAGTTGCAAACAGTACACCGGACGAAATCTTGAAAACCAGAGATGGGAGAAATTACCCCATCTCTAGGGAGCTTTTTTGTATGGTAGTATGGTAGGAAGAAAAGTGCTGCGTGTGTATAGATATACATATATATGTATATATAATGATGAATTATATAAAAATAAAAAATTATTTTTTAAATTTTTAATTTTTTTCATTTAATTTAAAATTGAAAGTTAAAATTTTTAATTTAAAATATTAAATTTTTAACCATTAAATCAGCTTTAAAAAGTAAGAAAATTATTAATTAAGTACAGTAATTATCATTGTAACAATGAGATGCTACGGGATTTCTGAATAATCAAAGACGTAACGAATACTAAGAGGAGGGAGAATATTCAAAATTAAATACTCGTAAGAATTATGATTTGTCGTTGGATTGGGATTTGGATAAGCATAACTTTTTCTTTTTTCCTTTTTTCTTTTTTTGAGGTGAATAAAACCAAACTTCTATGGGTCACTTTCATTGTATGGGGCAGACTCGCCAATCAAATCATCACATGCCTAAATTGCATTCACACCCAGAGCAACTTTCCAAATGTCAATGTTTTCTTCTTTTTTTGATACGCACGTTGAAGCAAGTGACATTAACCGTGAGTTGGTAGGGTAATTTTTGTGGGTTGCTGACTTGCTTTTTCAATTTTTTTTTTTTTTGATACGCACGTTGAAGCAAGCAAGAACTGGGATCCTCGCGGTGGCAAAAGCTTAAAAATAACCTCATTCCTTGATAAGTTGAATGGTTTTAACCCCTCAT